AGGGGCCTCCCAGCCACCCTCCTCGTCCCGGCTTTCCCCGACTCGCCCGGGGAGAGGGAGGAAGGTGACCCCGGCGGTTGACGCGGCCTATTCCTGTCCTCTTCCCCGGCCCTCCGCCACTCACGGACCCGCACGGGCGCCGCCTGGAGCCACCGCTTTCCAGCCCCGCGCCCTCAGCAGGGCCCAAGGCCTCAAGGACCCCCGAGCTGCGGCCCTGAGAGACATCGCTGCCCTTCCGCCGCCTCCGCCGCCTCCGCCTCCGCCTCCGCCTCAGAAGCAGGGCCGAGCGGGAGGAAGTCGGGAGGAGCTTCTTTCTCCGCCTCAGAGGCAGGGCCTAGCAGTGGTCCCCAAGCGGTGTGCTCTTTAAGAGCTTTTGGACTTCAGCTCCCAGAAGCCTCAGCCATGTTGGCCAATAGTGTGGGATTCTGGGAGCTGAAGTCCATAAGCTCTTAAAGAGCACACAGTCTGGGGACCACTGGAGGGAGGCCCGACAGCCACTAGCTTTGGTTCTTTGGAGAAATAAAACATGGGCCTCCTTTTTGCCCGGCTTTTTGGGTGTGTGTGTGTGTGTGTGTGTTGTGTTGTTTTGAAAAGTCTCCCTAGGAAAACACAGGCGGCCCTCCTTTTTACAGGACATGTCCTCCATTTCCAGCCTCCCTCCCAGGAGGAATTTCAAAATGCCCTCCAGAAGGAGCACGGATTTATATTTCTATGGTCCAAAACACACGGGCAGAAATAATCCAGTTTGAGACCGCTTTAACTGCCCTGGCTCAATTCTAGGGAATTCTGGGAATTGTAATTTATTGTGGCACCAGAACTCTCTGACAGAGAAGGCGAAATGCCTCACAAAATTACAGTTCCCAAAATTCCTTAGCAATGAGCCAGGGCTGTTAAAGTGGTCTCAAACTGGATTATTTGCAGTTTTTCTACAAATGTTTTGGACCTAAGTTAAACAGAGTCTGTTTTGGACCTAAGTTAAACAGACCTAATTCTTTAATAATTCTTGGATGAATACCTTGAATCCCTATATTGGGAGAAAGGGATATAAGATAATAATAATAATAATAATAATAATAATAATAATAATAATAATAATATACCTTTCAGAGACCTGGAGTGTGTTTTGGGCCCAAGTTTCTAGTCCTCATTGTTTCAGACCCATGAGTGCTTTTAGTTTTTATGTGGTAATGTCTTACATTTTTCTTGAAAGTCCTCCATTTTGCAGTGCCTTATCCTTCTTGGCAGCGAGGACATGATGGAATAAAGGGCATGCTTATCAAATTTGTAGATGATACCAAATTAGTATGGGTAGTTAATACCCCAGAGCACAGGATCAGAATTCAAAAATGACAACAGTTTAGAAAGCTCTTGTGAAAACTAACAAAATGAATTTCAACAGGTAGACATGTAGGCTACTACGCTGGGCAGTAAAAATGAAATTCACACTTGGTGACACCTGGCTTGATGGCAGTACATGCAAAACGGATAGAGGGGTTTTAGTGGACAACAAGCTGAACATGAGCCAGCAATGTGATGTGGCAGCTAAAAAAACCAATGCAATTCTAGGTTGCATCAGCAGTATAGTGTCTAGATCAAGGGAAGTAATAGTGCCACTGTATTCTGGTTTAGTCAGGCCTCACCTGGAATACTGTGTCCAGTTCTGGGCACCACAGTTCAAAAAGGATGTTGAAAAACTGGAGCGTGTCTAGAGGAGGGTGACCAAAATGGTGAAAGGTCTGGAAACCAAGCCCTATATGGAGAGACTTAGGGGGGTTGCAGACTGCCAGAAATAGTGCAAATTGAGTCCACTTTTAGGGTTAGGGTTAGTGCTAGGGAATCATGGGAACTGTTTTTTTTCTGAGACATTGAGCCTTCTATGTCAGAGAGCTCTGGTGCCACAATAAAATACAGTCCCCATGATTCCCTAACCCTAAAAGTGGACTCAATTTGCACTATTTCTGGCAGTCTGCAACCCCCTTTAGGAAGCTGGGTATGTTTAACCTGGAGTAGAGAAGGTAAGGGGTAACATGACACCATGTTCAAATAATAATAATAATAATAATAATAATAATA